AAATAATTCCTTATAAATGTATCATTTGAATGAACTGTCTGAAATATAATCCTAAAAACTTTGTAGAATTTTTTTGAGAAGTAGAAAAAACGCCTCAAAATTTAGAATTTTTCCTGTGAGCTAGCAATGTTTTTGTTTCTTTCCAGCTAGGAAATTTTAATATACAAATATTATTGGAGGTTTCCCCTTTTTATTGACATAAAAATACTCAAATTTACATAAAATTGGGATTCAGACCAAATATTAACGTTTTATTGTAACCAACAAGACAAATTAAGTCATGTCTCTGGATAAGCTGATGATATCAGAATGATCCAGGTATCAAATTGTAGTTTTTAAAGCAGGAATTTGAAAATGTWGTTTGGTCATTTTGACTTTATCCTCATTTTGACATGATGGGACACATATATGCAGTTTTTATAAGAAGTATGCTCCATTTTGTCCTCATGCATCTTAGTAATCCAGGTAGAAAAAATCAAAAAGAAACTAGACATGGGTTTTTACGATGTAAAAACAAGTGTGCATTGCCATGTAGCATGTCACTGCAGCATGGCTTTGCCTGCAGCAATGGAGTTGCAGAATGAACTGTGCCCAAGTTCGAATGTGTTTTCTATACCAGCCTGTCAAGTCAGCAGGTGTTTGTAATGAGYATAATTGTGTGACTATATGAACTTTGGATAATTTTTTTTGTTAAAGTTCCAGTAGCTGGGATTGAACCATGATCTCCCACATGAAAGCCCATAGTGTTAACCATGAAACTATAGGAGCTGTGGCCATAGGTACTCCTAGGGGTAGGTTTGTATGTGTGCAGAAAGAGGCAACATTGCCAATGCAATCATTGACACTAAACTGCAATATATTACAGCAATAGAGCAATATTTGGACAATATTATGGTAAAGCATCAAAATACAATCATTTTAGTATTGTAAACACTGAACTATTGAGATTAAATATTATTAAACTATGGTGCAGTACTGAATAGATACAGCAGGAGCAGTATTGGACAAATACAAGGCTCCATTGACTGCCATTATATGATTTTAAACATTAATAGTTAAAAAACTATAAGTTGTACAGGCACCAAAAGGCATAGCCATAATTTGGAAAGGGAGCTTTACAGATATAAATTACAATGGCAGCTCTAGGACATAGTTTGCAGGAGGAGAAGCGTGCCAAAGTGGAGATGACTTGGATGGGAAACGAATCACAATAGTGTGCATTGGCAATGCACACTGAAAATCAATATGTCCTCTGGATGGGTTCTTCTTTAGTGAAACGTTTCGTCTCTCCTCCAAGAGACTTCTTCAGTCTGAGGAGTTTCAGGTGAACTCAGCCTTAAAAGCTCCGCCTCCACATGGTGGACAAACAGGTTAGTCACATGCAAAAGAGGGCCATCGACTAACAATAGGCTTGATTAAGTCTAGCTATTGTTAGTCGATGGCCCTCTTTTGCATGTGACTAACCTGTTTGTCCACCATGTGGAGGCGGAGCTTTTAATGCTGAGTTCACCTGAAACTCATCAGACTGAAGAAGTCTCTTTATAGGAGAGACGGAACGTTTCACTAAAGAAGAACCCATCCAGAGGACATATTGATTTTTTCTTTTTGATTTGCTCCATTTTGACTGAGTGGAAATCGCCCTTAATCAAAGCTACACAAGCAGAGAGCAGACATTTTTCACAGATTATTTTTTTCATGTTTTTTTGTGTATAAATAACAATTAGCATTTTCTCAAGAAAACCATTTGGAAATTAACTTGTTTTCTCAAGAAAACACTCATCGTTATTTGACATCATGGAGAAAAAAAATTAACTGTGGAAAACGTCCGTTCTTGGCTCCTGTACGAATCGGCAAGTTGCCGTCTAAACTTTTTAAAGACGCGTCCTGTTGATGTGGAAATGTTATTTTGTTTATGGAGTGATGCCTTATTCGTCTGCGAGAAGCAAAGAAAACATTTAAAATTTCTGAAAATACTTGATCTAACTGATTCAGTACTCGATATAATAAACACGTCGTTTATTAAAATAACAATAAAAAAGAAAGTGATAAATGACTTATTTAAAACTCAAAGACCAGGAAAGTCGGCAGGAGAAATGGTAACAGTCATCCGGCGAGGTGAGTCCACATTCCTCCTGTTTCAGGATCATCCAGGTAAGAGGAGGCAGGTGACAGGAAGTGGGCTCAGTGCCCGTCACTCCAGCCTGTAGGGGGACTTTTCTAATCTGAGGGTTGCTCAGCCAAGGTTCAACATCATGCGTCCAAAAAATGTCCGCTCTGTCTGTCTTCATTTGTCACCAGAACCTGGAGGACACATCATATGTTGACCCAAACAAACAACACCATTTAAAGTAATTTTTAACTGGCGTGAATCAAAAGATCCGAGTTAAACAGAGAAGTTTGTGACAAAGTAGTGAAKGTTTGAAATATTCATAGTTTTAGTGTGAGGTGTCAAAATATTGGTGTTTAACCGTATAAAATGATCTTTTCCACAACCAATTGACCACCTAACTGCAGAGTTAATCAGTTAATTGAGTCTCATCCATCAAATATCCCCATCCCTGTTTACTTCAGCTGCTTCTTTGTGACCACAGAGCCTCGCTGCTGAAGTGTGGAAACCAGAAATCTTTAAAAGGTCAGAGCGGTATTGAGGACACACCGAGACAAACCTGTAGGCTGTCTGCAGGTGACTCATGCTTGTCTCCTTTTCTCAAATTCACCACAAATTTACTGCCTGAAGCCTTTTTCTGATTCGGGTCAGGACCCTTCCCAATGCTTTATTTCAGCCGGCTGTCTATTTTTGAGTTTTGACTTTCAGTAAACAAATTATTTTGCCCAATCAGGTGCCTTCAGGTCATATTTCCATATTTTTGTCAGACGAGCTGCAAACAATCTCTCGTGAAGTTGTGGTACACTCCGGGCACTAAACTGTTTTCTGTCCCTCCCTCTCTGTTGTGGATGAATCCCTTTGAAAAATGAATCCTTTCTTTGAGGTAGGAGGACTTCAGGGAGATTTTATGAGCCTGTCAGGGCTGCTGAGAGATGTCTCTGAGGCCATATTTGTTTCTCAGCCGCCGGCGCTCGAGGCTGCGCTTCAATGACCCCATCAATCGCCAGACAGTAACGATTCCCCTCCATGTGATCAACAATTTAAAAAGTTATCTTACCTCGATCAATAACGGATCAATAAGGCAAACAGATAAGATGGTGACATGGAAAACAATCAATTACTGCATTGTGCTGGGAAGCTTCAGCCTTGAGTTACAGAACAAAACTGAGCTGAGCTGTCTGCAAAACTGCACATAAAACATTTTTAACCTCGTTTGTAAACGAAGATAAAATGATTTTCAGCTACTTGGAGAAAAAAAAGTCAACCTAAAATCAATATCGTTTATTTTTACACAGTTGTGATGATTTGAGCAAACTGTTGGAGGCTTCAGAGCGTGACTAACTGGAGCCGTCTGTGTTTGTTGATCTGCAAATCCAAAAAAACCAAAACCTCTGAATCAAAGAGCTTTTTATGCTTTTTATTTTTCACTGCTGCCACACTCCAACAAGTGGTGCCTGGTCATATTGTACCTACACTTAATACCCTCTAGTCGTCATTTTGATTTCATTCCATTTAAAACAAAATTACTATAAACAATCATGGAAAAAAATACATTAAACCAGGGGTTCTCAAGCTATTTGGGTCTGGGGACCCCTTACAAGGGCGAAAAAAATTCCAGGCGCCCCCTCATAAACCCCATGCTGTTTTAAAAGATAATTTATTGTCATTTCAACCCCTAAATGCCATAGGAATATGTATTTTTATTAAGTTTAT